ATGTTCAAACCAAAGATATGCCTTTGCATCAGCCAACCATATCGCAGAAACGAACACGATTCCCACCAATTACACGGTAACCTTTTAAGGACAGTCAGCCTATGCCCAGCAAACACACAGCAAAGGCTGATTGGGTTAGCAGAGCGTGCAACTTGCTACTGTTTCGGTGATATCATGGAAGATCTGAGCTCCCTCCGAAAAAGCTTCAAACGTCAGTGAAAAAAACAGCAGCTGAGCAGCCACAACATCGTTTAATAAAGGAGACATCGTGGTGAACGAAGTAAAAAGACGTTGGTGATGTGGCAGCACTATCAACAGACTGGTGCTGTGTACCGTAAACTGCCTAAAACATCTGCAAAATAAAACTGGAAATGCTGATAACCAAAAAAAGCAACCCAAGCAATGCTTTTAACTTAAATGTTAAATAAAGTTAATATACTGGTATTTTATCTTCCCTAAAAAATACAACTTCTCAAAATAGTATGTTCCAGAACTATAAAAAAACTTAGATTGCACAAAATTCCTCCAGCAATCCAAGATTTAAATAGCGTTGAACGCGGAAATGATCGTCATGATCCAAGACTTCCAGCAGAGTCTAGAAGAACCAGGCGGTGATACCTCAAGGCTCCTGCAGTGAGGGCAGAAGGAAAGAAATAAAACTTTCAAGCTGATCAGCGGGAGCTTTGGATCAGCTCTGATTTGTGTTTTCCTTCATACTGCATGGAATTGACATTATTCTTGACAGCATGACGAAAAGCATTTTGCTACCTTGGAGCAAAACAGCAATAAATCATGCGTCAGGAATGAGGAGGGAGTACAGGGTGCATTTAATACCTAAAATAAATTATGATATATACAGAATATGAATAGTGCCTAAAATAAGTTATGTTGTGAAAAGGATGTAGACAGCACCAGAAGATAGTGATACACACACACACAAACACACACACACAGAGTATTAAGTGACTGATGGTCTTCTCCCCTGCATAAACAGGACATTCTTACATTTTCCGAAAAAAAAAAAAAGTTGTACCTTTGTTTGTCACTGAGGCTGTACCCTTATAATTGTACCTTCTAAGGTACAGAAATGGACTCTGAGGAACATCCCAAATGTACAGACAGCATTAATGTACCATCAGTGGTACAAAAATGTTCCTCAGAGTCCATTTCTGCACCTTAAAAGGTACAATTACCCACAGCTAAGCGTACAGTTGACAGACCCTTGAGAGTACAGACCCACTGACAAGCAAAGGTACAAGTTTTTACCCTTTTTCTGAGAGTGTAAGGTACACCGGCTTTGAGGTTCAAAACACCACTAGGATGTCGTGCTGAAGCTCACTGGGGCTTCTTTCAGCAATTTAGAATTATATGAAAACAGTCTATTAATTTAGAGGAAAAAACAGGGGTATAGAAATCTCACTGATAAAGTGTATGATGTTAAAATAGTATAGGAGAAGTAAACAAAGTAGTAGAAGTAAACAAAGGGGAATTGCAGAGCTCTACAGTGAATAACAAACAACACAATGTGTAACACTACAGAACTCCCTAAACAGCTGGCTAATGTCAAACACAAATGGAATAGAAGTGATACTTTAGTCATCACATACTGTCAGAAAAAAGAACAGAGTACAAGTTTGTACCTTTGCTTGTCACTGGGGCTGTACCCTCAAGGGTCTACATTTCAAGGTACAGAAATGGACTCTGAAGAACAACATTAATGTACCCACAATGGTACAAAATGTTCCTCATAGTCCATCTCTATTCCTATTCAACTGTAATTATTTTATTACGCAATTGCAACTAGCTGCTATGACTGCTGTCGCATTTTAAAAATCACTCCATTTTTAATTGTTGACCAACAATCCTACCAGACATTAAAATCGCTGACAGGTACCGCGCTGCACCTGAGCCACAACCGCGTGTCACGTGACGAAAGGGCGAAAAGGCGCTGTCCCTTTAACACGCGACCTTCCCTTTAATGCTTCACCTGGCCGCACCTGGAGCGCCGCCGGTCTGCTGGAGTTTCGCAATAGAAACCCCGCAGTACGCGCTCTCGTGGTCATTTTAGTATTTCCTCCTTTACGATGAATACAGAGCTCGGTAAGCTTGTCAGATGTTTATATTTTCCATTCAGGGGACTTTTCCGAAGGTTTTGTTCGGGCTGTAGGGTTTTACGTTTGTTAAACCAGGCTGATATCTTTATTGCTGTTGAGTTTTTCTTAGGTATGTCAGAGTCGGTCACTCGGTTGCTGATATCGGTTGTAAGCCGTATTGTAGGCCAACAAGTACGAACAAATGATCGTTTTCATTGTGTCAGTAATACCCGGAGTAGGATGTGACATAAAATAACGTTGTCAGTGGTCTGTTGTCCTGATCGTGTGTGGGAGTATGACACCATTAATCTAGGAATGTTTTGACAGCTTTATAAAAGTCTTGTGCACAAACAATCACCAGTGTTGGTTTTTCTCTAAGCGTTTAAAAGCAACAGTTATTGAAACGAGAATTCCCCAACCCGTAGCAAGCAAAGTTGTTGTTTGACATGTTTTTCCCCCCACAGTGAGAAATGTAAAGTTTGATGTTGACAAAGGGCTCTGAATCCGGACATTGAGAGTACTTTAGCCTGACATGTTGGGACACACAATCAGGAACTAACCAAACTGCGTGACTGGGAGGAAGTCCAACTGCAGCGAAAAGGCACAGACGTTACAAAATGACTGAAATCCCGTCTGTGAGTGCGAATCCAGATGAACAAGTACCCCAGCCCATCGGAGTCATAGTGGAGCCCAAGGCTCAACTGAAGAACGGGCTGGAGGAAGATGAGAAGAAGCAGGAGGCATGGGACGAGGAGCAATGCGTCTCCTCTGCCAGGTTTGAGCCCAGCACCCTGCCCTGCCGGGGGCCCAAAGAAATGGCGGATAAGGAACAAGAAGGAAGTGTACTCCTTGGTAAGGAAGGGATGCTGGAAAAGAAAGCAACAGAGGAGGACAGGGGGAGCCTAGATTCTGGGTCTATACACGTAGGTCAGGAGAGCAGGACGGAGAGCGAGAGGGAGCTGGGCCTGAAGCAGAGGCTCCTGTCAGACGGCTGGCATGAGAAAGAGAGGAAGCTGGGGATGGACAGCCGGGAGAAGGGCGATGGCGGCACGGGGGAGGGGGGCGACGCGGGCAGCCGGAGGAACAGCATGCCCGAGAAGGCCGCTCAGGTGTTCGACCCCAACGTCACCATCCTGCAGCTCTCCAAGCAACGGCACACCCTGGGAGACGACTGCCCCCTGCTGGCAGACGAAGGAGCGTATCACGCCTGCCATGGCTCCCAGGGGGCTCCGTCAGATTGCTATTACTATGACAGAACGGACAAGCCGTACATGTGTAAGTGCACCGAATACCATGTCCGTCCCGATTCCACCGACTAAGCTAGTTATCATTACAGTCACTAATAAGCCACTTTGGTATGGATATGGTAAAATTCTATATTGTCCCAGTAGGCTTCAAAATTAATGCAACTGTTTTAAGCAAATCCTCCTACACGTTGCCGTCTCACTGTACTGCATGAATAAAAACACACTGCATCCATCCAGTGCTAACTGCTTGTGCTCAGTCATGGTGAGCCTGGAGCCAAGACTAATGTGACTCACTAAAGTGTTAATGTGGTGAAATCCATCGGTTAGTGTGGCAGCTCCTAAATGGGGCTTCGTGGATGATTGTTGGTGAAGCTGTCTCTCTCTGTCTCGCCAAGCCTACAACAGCCATGTGCGCAGCACTATGAAAGCCGCGGCGGCGATGATCATGGCGGCTCTGATCTTCCCGGTCCTCGTGTGGGGTGGTTATGCCTTCTTGCCCTTTGATGCCCCGCTGCTCAGTACTGCCCCTGAGAGGCTGGTCTACACGTTGCGCTGCTCGGTCTTTGCAATCGTCCCTATTGTCATGGGTAAGGAAGTGAATCGTGTTGCCATGGTGACCTTGTTTGCTTATAGGACCCTTTTGAATAAAAGTCACAGTGATGTCTTTGCTTGTCCGTTTGCAGGTATTCTGGTTCTGGGTGTGTCCCAACTACGGTTCTGTTATGTGGAACCGATGTATGAAGGTCATGTGGAGCCCAGGGCGGTGGCCGTCCATCGGCACTACATCCACGACTCCATCTCCCTTTTCTTGCTCTACTTCCTGCAGTTGGCTGTCATGGCAACTTACTTGAGTCAGAAGTGTCTGAAGCTGGTGCCTTTGCTGACCATTATGTTTTCTTTGGGCAGGTAATTCGGCATGAACCCTTAGGTCTGTTACGTAGTGGAGTGCTGTTATTAAAAATGCACGTTGTGACATGACTTCAAATTTGTCAACAATCAACATAAACCTTGTGATCCACAGCTTGTTTCACAGCTCCAGGGGTAATTCTGGGTTTACTGGGACTTGTGTTACAGCTTTTTGTTTCATATTGGAACGCCGCAGTTAGTCTGGAGTTACTCGGGAGTCATTGTGTAGACTGGTGCTAAGTGTATAGTGTATCTTGGTATTCCCTAGAGGTGCAGTCTGTATCCTGCTAATCCTATTGTGCCCCGCAGGCTGGTCTACTGGCTGTTGGCAGCTCTGGGCGGAAATGGCGCCCGTGGCATCGGGTTCGGCATGTCCTTCCTGCCCGTGCTGGCCATGCTGGGGGCGAACTTGTACTTCATCTTCACGGTGGAGGCCGGGGGGAGCATCTTCGCTGTGGAACCCCTGCCCGAATCGGCCGAGGCCCCCCGCCAGCGTTTCTGGGGCTAAAGCACAGGAGCATCGAGCCCCTGGAGAGAGATGGGAGAATTTAGCCACACGACTCTTCCGGTTTCCTGGGCTTTTGGCTCCACAGGGGTGAGATGCGGCCCACTGGACAATCGCAGAACCGGAAAGTGAATACAGAATACAAGAGTGATGGTGGATCTGGAACTATTTTCTCCATGTGGAAATTGCTTAGTGCTGTACGATTTGCATTTGTAAAATTACTGCATCTGGGGGAATCTGCTGCATTAGGGCTGTTATGTATCACATGTGTGACAGAAACTGGACACTCCTGGACTGTAATTACACACCCTGAAGGATATTGCTTCCTCTCTCCTGTGGTTTCTGTTAATTGATATTTAAGATGAGATGTTTTCAAAGAGATGGGAAGTGTGGTCCTTTTTGGGGAAACCACTAATTTCTAATTTTAAGTGTAAGACTGTACAGTGACGTATCCAGCCTGTCATTCGGGTCTTCTGTTCTCGTGTGTCTTTCTTTTCCATGAAATTCAGCAAGTCTGAATCTGTTATAAATAAACAAATCTGTGGATGGGGAAAAATGCTTTAACCCATTTCATGCCACTGAATGATCATCAAAACAGTGCAATAATCAAAGAAATTGACATGTAGCAACAATTCTGCTATATTGAGCATTTTTGTTATTGCATGATTGCCGCCGCTGCCTTTGTTCTATATTCTGTATTTTTGTTTACTTGATCATTTTTTTGCATATGTAATGTTGCGCTTTAGTATATATAAGAACTGATTAAAATGACTGAAATATTTGGTTTTCCCTGCAGGTTTATTCATTCTTATTTGTAGTTTTGCACACAGACTATGTTATTTTATGGATAAACGAAGCGTGAAACTAGAAAAACTCCGAATATGCATGTCTGTTGGGGCGCTTACGTCACACCGCAAACAAGACAAACAAGTTTAATAACTGTCGGAGGGCAGAAAGTTTGCCATAAATCCCACGTGCGTCCACCTGGTGGCGCATTGACTAGGGAGTGAAGCGCCGTGGGAGTACCCTTCGGATAGCCGTACCACGACTGGGGGGGTTGCATTAAAAGCTGTAAAGTCGGGGTCGTAAACACTCGTTGCCACTCTACCCTTAATGTAGCGCGATCGGAAAATGGCAACCTCGCAGGGGCGAAGGAAACACTGTGCCTGCCTGCTTCGGATCCGGGAGAACTGCCCGTTCCGCAGACTGCGGAAAGGCAGATGCTACGGTAAGACCTTAGTAATGAACGGCTGGGTCATGTCAGTTGTATAACAGCGTATTAAGTACTTCACCATTTTGGGATATTCATCAGAAAAAAAGTGTGTAATTGTGACGTACCACTACCTGGTACTCCGATCAAATGCATTCAAAAAAAAAGGGTGATCCGTGTTCTTTTAGGGACTTTTATACTAGACTCGTCTAACAGTGAATACACAATGAACAACGGGTACTGTTCTCTAATGAAAATCGAGAATTGCTAGTGGTTAGCTTCTTGTGCTTTGGTTAGTAGTAACTTGTTGTTGTGAAAGCTTTTACACACGCGTAAACAACAGCTATTTTGTAAGTGAAAGGTGGATCTCTACCTAGACTGCGTAAGCATTATGTGCGAAGCCTGGAGCATTAACAGATGACCTGTAATTAAAACGCTGTTATAAATATGGTACATTGTAACAGAAGCAGAAGTGAGAGTCGTGACTCTCCAAGTTCCGACTTCATGTAGGAAGTTAGAAAGAGCCATTTTATTTGCTAAAACGAGAGATTGCTCTGCTTTTATATACATCTTAAGCACTGGAATGTGTTTCTGCACTAAGCAGACTGAAATTAAGTCCATGGTCAACACCTAGCCTATAGGCTACTGAGCGTGCCAGAAACATTTTATGTAGGCCAATATTATTTTGTATCATATAAGTATTATGATTGTGACTTTGCTCACAAAGATGATTGGTCGAATAATCGATGTTCGGCTGTCGCCGCAGACATCCAGAGCGCGTCGGTGCAGCACTGGGCGCAGCTCGATGGTGGCGCCACGTCGTCTCACGTCGGGCGTGCAGCCGCCGAAGTCCCTCAGGAGTCCCATTCCCAAAGCGACATGTGTCTGCCCGCTCCTCAGACCCACCTTCCACAAGTGGAATTCGGTAATGTCTATAAGTCACATAATCATTTTTTTTTGGCAGGAACTCAACATGATCGAGTATTTGGGCAAAATTAGAAGACAAGAATCAAAACGTATGCCCCATATTTTACAATGTATTTCCTTACCACATGCTAATTTAAAATTATTTGCATGATTTGGTATGATTCCTCACTCACCAGTACAACATAATTTATTCTGAAGCAGTAACGAACTACATATGTGTGAAATATATGAGTGGTGGTGAAGAGTCACATTACAAGCACAACAATTTAAGAGCCCTCTGAAATGTCATACCACATTATGGGTGCCCATTAATGCCAGTTTGGGGTGGGATGGAGGAGGGGGTGATGTCTGAGCAACTGCCCTTTTTTGATCTCCAATAATCCCGCAAAATTGACCAAGGGGATAACGCCCCGCAATGACCCAGTTTTGACCCCCCCCCCCAAAAACCCCTACAGCTGTAGACCCAGGCGGCATCGAGTGCTCGCCCAAGCCCCTGGCGCCCCGCACTGTGACAGTCCCGGGCCCTGTGCTCCTGAATCTCCCGCCAGCTCATCCTCACCAGCACCTGATCGCACAGCCCTGCAACAGCAGCATGGGTGAGGAATGAGCTTATGGCTCTAGTCCCACGCTTAGCCTCTTACCACTTTCACAAAAGTGAAAAATTGTCATTGCTGAAACACCACAGCACACGACGAAATGCGTCCTCCGCATTTAAGAGACATAGTAGGGGGCAGCTATTGTTTAGCAGTGCTTGGGGGCGCTACCTTGCTCAGGGTACCTCAGTGGTACTTTGCTGGTCAGGGATTCAAACCAGCAACCTTTCAATCCCAACCACACTTCCCTAACATTAGGTCGCCACTTACAGGCTATTTCATGGTATTGCAACGGATTTCAGTTGCTTGCCACCAGAAATAGCTGTCTCTCCCCTGCCCGCCACACCATGGCTCTACCATTGTGAATCCTGAATCCATCTAACCAGTGCATCGGTTTCGTTTCAGAGGTAGACGGTGGCATAGACCCAGAGACAGGAGAAGCCCTAGAGTGACGAAGAGCAGACGTTCCTCCTGGACACGCAGCACTATAAACGTGCACAGATATGACGGCTTGTCGTCTGCATTATACCCCCCTGTTTAGTGTGCAGCACTTATGTATTTATGTTGAGTTTCCCTCTGCCTGTTTTATACGTCATCCTGTCAAGACACTGGGAATGTCCGCACACTATTCCTGGGGATTTTCACCATGCTACATACTAGCTGAGAATTTTCACCAAGCCATGCTCTTACTGGGAATTTTCACCAAGCCATGCTCTTACTGGGAATTTTCACCAAGCTATGCTCTTACTGGGAATTTTCACCATGCTACACACTAACTGAGAATTTTCACCAAGCTTCGCTCTTACTGGGAATTTTCAGCATGGCACCCACCAGCTGTGAGTTTTCAATATGGCATATTCTTACTGGGAATTTTCACCATCCCATACACTAGCTATAATTGACCATGTCATATTGTTGCTGGGAATTTTCATCAAGCCACCCACCAGCTGGGAGTTTTCACCATGGCATACTCTTACTGGGAATTTTCACAATAGCACACTCTTACTGGGAATTTTTGGCATAGCATATTATTACTAAGAATTTTCACCATGCCATACACTAGCTATAATTGACCATGTCATATTGTTGCAGGGAATTTTCACAATAGCACTCTCTTACTGGGTATTTTCACAATAGCACTCTCTTACTGGGTATTTTCACAATAGCACTCTCGTACTGGGAATTTTCGCCATGACATGCCGTTACAGGGATTTTTTCACCATGACACTGGTGAACCATGGCACCAAATCCTGTCTGGCTTTTACTGGGATCTGGTATTTGTCTCCTATAATGCATCTTAAAGGTAATTGGCCATCTTGCTGGTGAGGAACAGAATCTATGTTGTGTAATATAATTGTCTAGTGATTTTTATTCCAATATAAACAAAATGATAATCTTTAATAAAAATTTTTTTTAAAAAAAAAAAAAACCATGTCCGTATGTGTCAGCCAGTTCTGAAAGGACGGGCACCCTGTTTGGTCACACTCAGCTCTTCATTTTCCCAGAGTACATGGCAGGTGGGATTATCACACGCATCCAGGGTTTGATGTTCAAATCTCACCACCAGCTTTATGTGCAACACATGATGTCCTCCACATGTTACGTGGGGTTTTTCTGGCACTTGAAAAACATCGTTTGATGAATTGGTGCCTCTAAACTGCCCAGTGTGTGTGGGCGTGTGTGTGTGTGTGTGTGTGTGTGTGGGCGTGATAATTGAAAATTTGCTTTGGATCCGGGCTTGCCAAGCTAATGTAAATCTACTAATGAAAAGAGCCAACATTTATAAAGTAATGTGGTGATGAGGGGCGTAGCCCCCATGACAAAATATCTCTTTGGGCCCCCTGCTTGGGCACTTTCAATCTAAAGAAATACCGGCCCCAGAGTCGATAGAATTTGCAGACTGAGGGATGAGGGCCCCTTAGGTAAATTTGACTACTGGCGCCCCCCCAGTAGTGGATTTGGGGCCCTCCATGTTCCTCCAGTACCCCTGGTGGCATTATTTTTTGGGGTTGGGGTTTTTTAAACCTAAAAGAACACTGAAATGTAGCAGACGACAAACAGCATGCATTTGTATTGATCTTTCAGAAGTGATCATTTTTCATGACACCTAATTGGTGTTGAGTTTTAATCAATATTTTTAAGGGCTTACTTTTATGTACATTTTAATCAAAGCAAGAGACAGTACAAGACAAAAGGATTTCTAGAAAACGGAGGAAAATTTAATATGAAAGGATGAGAATATATACACACACAATTACAAGCAGCATATTTCCAGGGGCTGCTGAGAAAAACATAACATTTTTTAGAACATTTTTGAAAGGGTAAAACATATTTAACAATTCTTTGCAGGCTTTAGTGGTTACATAAATGCATTTCTAGCTGAAAAAAATGAAAAAGAAGCAATATTTTGAGGTTAATGTGATTTAGCTAGACGTGATCTTTAATGAATTACTCACATTTAACACAGGCCAATTTGCCTTTTTTGTGAAAATTAAACCAGAGTAAATTTGTATTATTTGATTAATTTTAGCAAGCAATTATTGAATTTTGATTGACAAAGAGTGATCATTGACCAATATTTAACATAAACAACAACATTGAAGTAACAAACATTCTTTTTAAAAATTGTTCTATCTTCCACCACCATAGATGTGACCAGGCAGATGCTACAGCAAGTCTTGGCTGTGCTGGTTGGTGTGGGGGGGGGCTGGGGGGTGAGGGAAGCAGAACTCAAAGCAACAGGGACTTCTCCAATACTCTAAACAACGCTTTATTCTGCAACAGCAATATTTAGTACATTAAAGTAATATTTACCAAGATCATAATGAACAAAATGCTAATATACAGGAATAAGCACCAGCTCGGAGCAAAAATATATTTCAATTTATTAATATTCCATTGGAAACAAACAGTTCACTCCTTTATAACCTATATTCAAAACCTTTAAAATAGATTAGCAAAAGTCCATTTGAAATCTGTCATTTCCTGTACAAACTGTATCCTTCTATCTGAGCAACAAACTCCTTAAGTAGAAAAATTAAGATAAACTCTTAAAATCCCTCTTATTCCTGGCTTAACTGGAGACCAGAAACTAACATTATACCATCCTAAGCAATCTAGAATTTAAAAATTGCAACAAAGCCCACATGTTAGTTGCTGTACACTGAACTCAAACAGGTCTATGACATGCTTTTCACACACTGTGCTCTTGAAAATTATGTTAATGGATACCTCTTAGCAGATATCTAAAGTGCAGGAACTGGCAGTGTTAAATGAAAAAGACGACGAAACAGCGTAAATCAGGGTGCAGCTATGGACCCATGACTCTTTTCTATTGCTGGAAGGTACAGTGGTCAGATAGGCTGGTCCTCAGACCTGCATGCGAGGACGTCCAATGGGAAGCAGGCCTCCACAAAGTCACGCAGCCTGGCTGTTAGTTGATTGGCTCATAGCCCTGTGGGACAGAGCGCTGCTTGCGGACGCACACGAACACCCCACCCAGGAGGATGAGGACCAGGGGAATGCCCAGCCCCAGAGCCATGATGCCTATAACCAGGGCTGAGAAGGACTCGGTGGGAGGTGAGCCGAGACCCACCAAGACGGTCCTGAAGAGAGACCAGGCACAGGAGTTACTTACTTTAACGTCCACTATTACGCCGCAGGTCAGCTAACAGGAAAATACAAAGCTTACTAATCACTTTGATTATTAGACACCATTTTAACAAAAAGGCCCACAAGACAGTTACAAAGTTACACAGTGAGCTACAGCAAAACTCAGTTTATCATTGTTCAACTGCTAGCCAAAGTGGGGGGTGGGGGGGGAAACGTGAGTTAGCAGAGCACTGCATCCTGATGTGTGACAGCAAAATCAGAGGCCAATGTGTCCAGAAAGGATTTATAATAAAAATGTAAATCCCAAGAATGACACAAATATCACAGGATTGCAGATGCGACCACAGAGTAGGAAGCACTAGGTAATGATATTTAATTGGGTGGCTGCGCTACTTTATAAAAATATTGGTTTAGAAATGGATGCTGTGGGACAGAGTATTTTGAACGGCTTACCAGCTGAGGTAGTCAGTGGCGTTGTAGAAAGGGTCTCCCGCAATGCTGAAGGTCACGTTAAGCCCGTGGGCACTGTAACCATCGCCAAAATATGCCAGGACAAGGTCAGAGGCGGGCAGCTGGTCCATGGGCATGAGGTGCGAGTGCCGACAAGGAGTGGCGTCATTAAGCACGGGACTTTCTGTACGGTAAGCTACTGGTTTCCACTGGACGTATCCGAGAATGGGTGAAGTAGAGTTGATGGGACTAAACACCCACTGTGACACCTACAGAAGGGAGAATGATCACAGCAGGGGTCAGATGATACCCCGAGTACAATTAAGGGGTTCAACTAATTTCAAGCCACCTGAAATCATCAATACGAGATGAGTGTAACTTACTTGGAAAATGGAGGGCGTGTACTCATCATCAATGGACCTCAGTGTCTCAACTTGGCTTGACAGTTCTTTGCTATCGATGTGCTGGAGCTCCAGAACAAAGCGGGAGAAACCGGACCTCCCTGTTACTCCCTTTAGCCAGAACCGCACCTGAGAGGCATTAGCGTTGTGAAGTAGGCGAGGCCAAGTCGGGCCACGCCCCTCCGACTCAAAGGCAGAGAACTGTGGAGGCAGATGAGTGAAACTAGGTGATGCAAGAGCTCCCAACAAGTGAAACCCAGTATATTATTCACACTTGAAAGAAGGGACTATGGAAGCATAATGCATTCACCTGGAAGAAAAATATTACTCATAAAAACAGGATTATCATCTCAATTCAGAAAAACACTGCTTGTAAAAACAAGATGATTATGTCATTCTTTCGGAAAAACAACTTTTTCCCCCCAGATGAATGCTATACACTTCCATAGGTGACAACACTTTTATTTGTGCAAACATTTTATTTTGTATAGATACAAATTAAACTATTCACCATTGCATGATCACTAAAAAGTAGAAAATTAGAGATCAAGTTTTAAAAGTATACCAAACTGGCCAGGAAAGAGTTCACTGAAAGAGAAATTTCCTACATCCTAAAATAGTGAAAAGGCTGCACTGAACAGATTATCAGCGTCAGTGGATAACCCAGCAATGACGCGTCTATGAAGCACCCAGAAAAGGAGTGCACTCACTGGCCAAATCTACGCTTACTTCATAAGATACCAGTCTTAGCCTGAGATTATTAGTATGTTCGACCAAAGACTTATCAGTAATTGGCTGCGAATGGAAATTCTGTAATACGGTAAGTTTGGAACAGACAGTCATTTTCTGTGCGAATGGACGACATACTTTAAAGTTTGCTCGTTTGAGAGTGCAATACTTGTTATTAATTGTTTCTTTGGGTTTTTATAAGGTTACTAAAAACTTAGTTAATAACATAGCTTGCATTATATGTGTGTTATTTTAAATCTGATATTCGTTTCAGTTAGTAAATCTAAATAATCAAATCTAAAATTATATCAGCCAATTTTATTGTTTATCAGAATATTTAACATCTGTTTTGAGTCTTCAGTGGATAGCGTAAGAGTAACACTCACCCCCAGACAGAAGGAGCCATTATGGAAACTTTCCGTGGGACCCTTTCCACAGAGCTGGGCGGTGTGGGTTGTATAGTTGAGGGTTCTGTTGAGATCCTCCCAGGTAAAGTTCTGGAGCTCGTAGGGTGGAAAGAAACTGGAGGGGGGCAGATGTGTGGGGTCCGCTGTGTCGTTTACGTCATCATACTCCCACAGCTATGAAAGGGAGAGGGAAGATAAATTGTAGCAAGCTTGGTGCATGCCCACATATCTTCATGGAGTGATTGTATAGTTGTGTGTCATTTTTGGAGCTGAATTTAAGATTCAGAGACCACACCAAAATGAATAAGGAAAGAAGAACCACAATAAAGACATACAAAAGTACAAATGGAAGAATGGAGAATCCACTTACTCTAGTGAAGACCAGTGCACTGCTATAGTGGACACTATTTTCTGGTTCTATCTTCAGGCTGCCAGAGAGGTTGCCTGAAAGAAATTTAAGCCAGTCCACCTTCAAAGAGGAAGAGGACGAGTTGGTGTGGACCAACAGCACTGCTGGCGCCCCCTGGCTGCAGAAGATAAAATGCAGGGTGTCGTTGTTCCCTGTTGCCCTCACATGCAGCAGATTAATAACACCCAGAGGGGCAGTATGTGAAGAGTTTAAACCTGGGTTCAACTCCAGAGACACCTAAGGTAGAGAAAGTCAAATTACTGAATGACAAATATTCATTTTGGTTCAGGCTTTAAGGACAAGGTCCGAGAGGGAAAGGGAATCGTATCAAACTGTTAACCAATTCGTTATTTACCCAAGGCATGAATATTTGTGTTTTAGCACTTGATATCTGCAGCCCCACAATAGCCGATATCTACCATGAATGATTCACAGTATGTCAGTCTCCCAGGTTTATGTGTTCACACATTAATAATCAATTTTGTCTGGACCGAACTGGCATTTAGTTACGTTACACCGAATTTAGAAAAATTAAGATCTTAAACTCATGTTAACTTGCGACTCGTCAACAGAACCGGTACAGTTTTACCCAGTGATCGAAACTGAATGTACAAAAATAACCGTAATAATCTATTTGAAGTGCTAACGCAGCCAGGCAGCTATCGCTTCTACGCAGGAATAACAAACAGCGAAAGCCAGCGCCAGCCATTACTGTATCTACGGCTCTAAAGCCGATGAAACTGAAGGCCGCTCCTTTTTACCTTCCGACGGTACGTGTCGCCTCGGTCGAGGAAAGCAAAAGCTGGCCGCGTAAGAAGCGGCCAAATGAAGAGAGAGAGCAGCAAGGAAGCGGCCGTCGCCATGTTTAGCTGCGGCCGGAGAAGCGCCGAGTCACGTGACGATGAACCGCGTGAGTTTCGGTCAGCTGACGCAGGAGCGGCGCCGCATTTAACGGCGATACCATCTACCCCGTCCCCAAGGCACCAGATGCAAACCCATTAAAACGCATCAGACGTTAGTCTTTGAAGAAAAGTTTATTAACAATGCAAAGGGAGTAAAAGGAGCAAATAACACTAACAGGGAATGGAAGTGCTCGGGTGTCAATAGACAGGGTCCAGACTGACACATGCTAACCTCTTGCAGTATTGAGTCGATGGTAAACGCTATTATATTGTGCCACAATTACAGAATGCAAGAATAACCCAATTGCAATGCACATCAGCTGATGGTTTAAATTAACGCCATGGTCCCACATCTATGAAACTTTTGTAAACTTTGTTCTAGAAGAATCTTTATACATTTTGGAGTTAGAATGATTTCTCTATGGGAACTTTTAATCAATCACTTTTACCTACTTTGTGGGACACCAGAAATGCAAACTTAAATACTCCTTTTTGGGGAAATCATGCACAATCAGAGATGGTAGAGAATTATTCTTATGTGTTCGGAAAAAAAAAAAAAAAAAACTTCAAAGGAAAAATGTAGTCAGGAAAAAATTTCATTTTTATTTAGTTTACATTTCAGGTCATATTTCCCAGCCAAAGACAGACTTACACAAACTGCACGAACGTTTCGCATAGCGGACACATCGGAGGGGATTCAGATCCACATCCCTCATGTCCACTCTGTGTTCACGTCTCTCCAGATGACACCCTTGTCTCTGCACCCCTCCCAAATCCCACTACTCTGCACCCTGCTCTCCGCCGGTCTTGTCATCTCCGCCTTTCTTCTTGTGTCCTGAAACAATGTCATCGATACGGAGTAGCAGAATGGCGGTCTGCAAACAAAGAGAGGGAAGTCATGAGAAAGGAATAAAGTCAAACAAGAAAGTCCCAGGAAGCACCTTTTTCCAACAGGGTTAAAGCACCATGAAGTCAAACTTAGTCGTCATAGATCCATGATGCTCTTTGGGAAAATAGCTTTGCATCCAATCTAGAATCTTTGACGCAATCCCTCAAACAGACATAGGTAAAATGCAGCTCAATTTAAATAAACAGGAAAACTTTTTATTGTTCAAATCATCAAAAGATGATATATAACTTTTTAAATCTAACGGTTTTCAGTGGAGACCGTTATGCCATCTGGGGAATGGACAGTCAAGCAGCAGAACTCCACTCTTATGGCGTAAGGAGACATACACAAAGGCTACAGTGTAAGACCAGCGGAGGGACACCAGACTGACCTCCACAGCGGTCTTGTACGTCTGTGCCTTCACAGCTAGCGGCTCCCAGATTCCCAGCTCGGTCATGTCCGCCAGGGTGCCGGTCTCGCCGTTCACCCCCCACGATAAGTTGTCCTTCTGGGAGTGTTTTGCCTGGAGGAGGGAAGCAGGACACTTACCATCAATCTGGGATCACAAGATACCACACAGTTTGACACTGTCTCCTAAGCGTAGCTGAACCAAGATATTTTATCAAGAGATAAAACAGAGCGTAAAAGATCTGGATTTTAGTCACTAACTTAATTCTATGCAGTTATGGTGTTTTGCTTTTGGATGACAGTACAAACATGTAAAGAAACTGCCTGGAAACAGTATTTAGATGTTTTCCTTTTGCAATCAGGAAGGGAAATATGCAAAGGTGTTTATTTCCACAACTCTGTGGGATGACTCACCCTGAGGGAGGTAAGGACACGGATGGTGCTGGCTCCACAGTTCTGGATCAGGGTGCGGGGGATGACCTCCAGGGCCTGGGCCACGGCACGGTACGGCCACTGCTCCACCCCGGTGAGGGCGCGCGAGTGCTCCGTCAGACGGTGTGACACGGCCATCTCCACGGCCCCGCCCCCCGGCAGCAGGTGGGGGTCCAGCAGCACGTTGCGGCACACCTGCATGGCATCCTGCAGGTTGCGCTCCACTTCCTGTGGGCGCAGGAAATGCAGACCGTCCCGCTCAACTCTGAATTACCAGCAGCATCGTACTGACCGTTCAAACAAAATAACTGGTTGCCCTACTGATGAGCCCCATCAGGCCCCCACCCCCCCCACCGTCCTGCTGCCGCCCTTCACTCACAGCCAGAATCTCCTTGCTGGCCCCCCTGAGCAGGATGGTACAGGCTTTGGGGTCCTTGCACTCGGTGATGAAGGTGAAATACTCATCGCCGATCTTCTTCACCTCGAACAGCCCCGCCCCCGTGCCGACATCCTCCTCTTTAAGCTCGTCTGTCCGACTGGCGATCCGCGCCCCACATGCCCTGGGGAACACCATCCAGTGTTAGGGACGGCCAAACGAGGGAAAGGGTTTGAAGACCAAGCAGTTTTGGGTCCATGAGGGGAGGGGGGAACACAGCTACCCACCTGGCAATCCTGTTGTTGTCAGTCTTTTTGACACGGCGGATGGCGGTGATGTTGGCCTTCATCAAATAGTGCTGGGCCAGATCTAATGGGGAACCAAACAGACCAATTAGTCCTCCGCCGAGGACTAACCAATCTTAACACAAATAGCTGCTGTGCAGTGGGTCCATCCACCAGCTGCCTCGATATGCTGCTCACTCTTACTTCCTACATATATCCAAATGTGCGGTGGCTTTAATGAGAAGCAGGTGACATTAGGCTGAAGGCCTCCACGGCCATCGCACGGCTACGCGGCAAAGTCAGAGGGCGGAAGGGTATAGCGGTGCCGTACCGGAGATGCCCTTCTCCGTGAAGATGAGGTCGGGCTTCAGGCGGATGATGTCCTCGCAGATCTGCTGGATGTATTCCTCCTCCATCTGCAGGATTTTTGCGAAGTCTTCCTCACGCGTGATCTCGATGTCTGTCTGCAGAGAGAATCCGAAGAGGGCTCTGTTCGTCACATCCTCGGTACCACACACACACACACACACACACACACACACACATTTTATTTGCACCGAATTAGATGTTAACTGTGAGGAGTACCTGGCTCTCGCCCTTCTTGTACTCCAGGGAACAGTCCAGCAGCACGATGCGCGGGTTCTTAATGAGGCGCCGCATGCGCGGGTGCGTCACGTCCTTGTTCACCATGACGCCCTTCAGCACACAGGAGTCCTCGATGATCCCACCGGGAATCTGCGTGCAAAAACACGTCAAGGCACCTGGGTACACGTTGAAATGTCGGGGCGCAAACCTGGAATGTTTACTAGTGAAAGTAAAAAGTTAATTTAATATTTCAGGATGGTGCTTTTGCACATTGTGATTTTGCCGAACAGCAAGCCAACCAAAAGGTACAAATAATTAAGATAAAACTAAACTCAATAAATAAACCAATAACTGCAGAATGGGTTTCCAATATACATCATCAGATCGGTCTACTGGTTCTCAGACACAAGAGGTGGAAGTGTCTGAGACTTGCCCATACCTTCTCCACCTTGGCGTACTTCTTGATGTCGATCTCCTTGCGGCCGTTCTCCTCCAGCTCCACGGTGCGCACGGCGTCCAGGGCGATGTTGCAGGCCAGGTCTGACCAACGGCTAAGAGCTTTGGTGTTGATGGCCGAGTGGATGATCTTCAGCATCATGTCCCGGTCGGTCACATCCACAGGGGTGCTGCACCGTGGTAGAGCAAGATGGCAGGTTAGTACACGGATAGAGAAAGGGCACAGGCCCTGAAAGAGACAGACAAGATGAAGCTGGAGAGAGCACTGAGAACCCAAGAAGAAAGGAAAGCTGTGGAGTGGCGGAGTGAGAGGTTGCAGACCTGGTTTCCTTCAGCAAGTTGAGCATGTCCTCCAAGGCCTGTCTGTAGGCACTGATCACCACTGTGGGGTGCATCTGCTGTTCCAGGAACTGCTCTGCCACAGCGAGCATCTCGCCAGCTGAGGAGAGCCACAAAACGGCATGAGACGAGCCTGACCCCCAGCACTGCCATGGCACAGAAACCGAACAGAGTATCCATATACATGTTATGAATGTGTAGCCTTCTTTCAAATCAGAATGGTGAGCTTATTTCTCACTGCAGCAGTGGACGTGCAGTGGACAGCCTGCAGCAGTGGACGTGCAGTGGACAGCCTGCAGCAGTGGACGTGCAGTGGACAGCCTGCAGCAGTGCGCTCACCCAGGATGATGACGGAGGTGGTGCCATCTCCGACTTCCTCGTCCTGCGTGCGGCTGATCTCAATCATAGACTTAGCTGCTGGGTGCTGCACCTGAATCTACGAAGACAGACGGAGGCTTGCTATTGGCCGGTTCTTTTGGAAGTTCACTCTTGTAATAGCCAATGAATACTCAGCACCATGAAGTCATCATATGGGGCCTCTCACCTCTCTCAGGATAGCATTCCCATCATTGGTCATTACAATGCCACCCATGGGGTCAAGAAGCATCTACAGATGGAAGAGAGGCATGAACAGGGCCGAGCAACAGCACCACCAGCTAGCTGGTCATCATACAAGAGAAATTATTTTGTGGAGAGTGTTTAAAACAACATCTACTTTTGAAAAACGAGGCTTGGAAACAAAAAAAGAATCCAAAAGAGAATCTAAGGGAGATTCCACTAAAAAAAAACAGTATCCTTACATAATCAAAATATGTTTGCATCATTTCATTCTGCACTTAAAGGTGGCACAGTTTTAAAATCTATTAACGTACATACCTTCATCATAGCTCTTGGTCCCAGACATGTCCTGATTACATCTGCTATTGTCTGCATTGAAAAAACAAGAAGAGCATTCATTATTTTTATCCAGTAGTACCCACAGAAAAATAAGTCATTTTCCCCCAGTCTGTGAAGTTCTGAGAAAAAGAGGCAAGCATGCTTCCACTGCCTGCATAGCACTGGTTTCCATAAGTCTTATATTTTGTTGGCAGGTCAGCGTTGTGAATAGGACTGTCTTGATTTCCCCTAAAATCCAACAGCATATAACCAAGTTCTACTGCAATTCATATTGTTGTGCTAAAAATAAGGCAGTGTTACAAAATACACAGAAATATAAAAATCAAATGGCAAAATGAATATATAATCACATCACCTTTGCTGCATTGATATTTCCTGTCTGAACCTTGCGCCCAGACTCCCGTTTGACATTCTGGCCTGGAATGAAGCAGGAGAAATTGAATCAGTCACATAAATATTTTTATTAATTAAGGCAACATTCCTGATCCCTGCTAGGCAAAGTATGTCTGTTTCAGTCATAAGCTGTTCATCAACTGAACAGAATGTTTGCCTCGTTGGAACTGCAATAAATTCCTGGAAGTTCGTAGTGTAAAAATTCTGATATATTAAATAACCATTTAGAATTTCAACAGTGCAACATAGCTAACAAGCCAGAGTATGTTTTTGTATAAAAGTACATTTAAATCATAAAATGAAAGGAAGATTTAGCGTCTGATTTCAAATCTTAAAAAATGGCATTTAATATTAGACTGTAATAAATGCATTCTGATAAGATATGGTGGATGCTAGATTTGAGTACTGAGCGGATTTATCCGCCTCATAATGCATCATTTCTGGTGGGAATTTGTCTTCAGAAACAAACTCCTGTCAACAAGGCATGTGCTTTACTTTGTATACCCAGGGGCATAACTAACAGCAAGCCATCTTTAACGTAGGTATATGGTACTGGGCCACAGTGTCAACTTAACTTCCATTCCCATCAAATTGAGAGGGGTAACTTTTATCAGAGTCTCCGCAATACATTTTGCAATAAAAAGCATGTCTGCTAGAGATAGGAGGTCTAAAGCCATGTCAATCATCATCTTTGAACTAGAAATCTCAACTTGAAAATGATGGGGAGGCAGTGAAGTTAAAAATAACCGCAGGCCCTGCAAAGCAACTGGCAGAGGCTTCGACCCATAAAGAATACCGCAAATAGATACAGATTTTAAAGCGTGAAGTGACAAGGTATTAAGGGCTAATAAGTTGCATAAATTGGGGCGACACAGGACAGTGCAAACCGTTGCCGAATGTAGCCAGTATCAGGACTGCAGTAACAATGACAGGCATATTTGCAGAAGTCCCCATACTGATCCGTTAGCATTAGCATCAGACAACGTTACGGAAATCAATGGAAGTCGCTCAAATTTCTAAACATTTCAACTGCGCTGCCGCTTAAATGACAGAAAGCGATGCATTTATAAAATGTCGCATTAAGAAAATAGCTACACGTACATTTACTGGACTATTAATCTGCCCTGGTTCACTCCCTCCTTCCCGTTACCTTAGATATGGCGGTCATGCTTGCCTGGAAGAATTTTTTTTCAATCTAGACGATTAACGGAAACTGATTATGGTTGAGAGAATAACAGCCTAGTATTGAAATATATTTAGTTAGCGGCTACAATGAAGACTTCAGCAGAGCTAAGCCCAGGGCCCAATTCACGCCTTACGCTACTTAGCTAACTGCGTGCTGCTGTAAGTAGTATCGGCTACATAAAAATGTATCAATGTAACACGTTATCTGGAGTTTTCAATATTAATAACATGTAAGAGAAGAAATTCTTTATTATCATGATTACTTACTCAGCACAAGAACCGGTCCTCCCATCATTTTGACTCCTCGTGTGAGACAACCGACTGGAACCTTCTGAGCCAAGAACAAAAAACGCCCCGTTCTGACGGCACAGAGAAACGGCCCAAGAACCAATGAATAATAGAGTAAGCTTAACAGACAGCCGATCCAACCAATCAGCGTGAGAGAATAATACGGCAAAGACTACAAGCATAGGTGTTGCCTGCTCGTGTCTTTGTCGAAAAGACCGGTATCGCCATGTGCTTTCAAATCGTTTGAACTGGCAATGTTGGAATATATGTAGAAGCATGGTTTTTATACAGACTATCTATTCCATAAACATGTATCCGTTTTAAACTGCAGAACTACTGAGATATAAAATAAAGACGGTATCAATAGACACGTGCGTTATTCTCCTTCCGTTTAAATCGAATTATGGGGCATGCAGTTTTCTAGAAACAGACCCCCCCCCCCCTGCGTTTTCTTGCTGAACCTTGGAATGGTGACAGAATATTCTGAACTAGCGAAATTACTAAAACATACAAACACACTTAACCTGAAGCCATTCTTTTATTGTGTAAAGGTTTATTTTCGAATGGAAAATTGCAAGCGAAAATACACAGGAAAACACACAGCCTCTCACCCCAAAATAAAACTATAACCTTAAGATATTGAAATCGTTTTTCATCGAGTTAAAAAAAATTCAAGTACTTATTTTGGTGCAATCCTTCAGAATTAAGAAGCAAAAGATATGTAACAGTCAAGATTTGGTAAAGGACTGAACTTCATGAATAATAACGTTAGCTAAAGTGTAGACTGATTTAAGTGTTCAGTTGAATAAACATGTACTGCAGGGTGCTGTTGTCCCATTTACCTGCAGATAGTAGAGTGCCAACAGACAAGATGTATTTAGTTGCTACCTTGCATTGGGAGTATTGGGACATTAGAAGGATAACTGCCACAGAACTCCACACACATCTTGGCTGATTGTAGAACCGTCCAGGGAAAATAAACATTATTTGTAGATAAATGTAAATGGTGACATACAGTGTCTTCAGATCTGCAGCGTTTGACAGTTATATACATTCTCTAACAACTGGTGGATTTCTGTAATACCAGCATTCATGACAACATCCATCAATCTCGAGGGCAGAGCCTATCCCAGACAGCATAGGTACAATTTCAATAAAATATAACTTCACTACCAATAGCTGCCTGTCCTATGACAAAAAAAGGGTGAAGAATATCTGTGCATGTGAGATAGAAAGGCACAGAGAGAAAGTGATCGAGGGCTATAGCTAGCAGTTGTGTAATCCTCCTTGAAGTTTGTCAAGTCCTGTAGCATTCCTGCTCTGTGCTTCTCACATCTTTATGTGATATTTTACAGCCATCACCACCACATCCCGGCTTTCAGAAAACTTGGAATTCTTATCTATCTTATTCTATATCGATGGTGGACAGCAGACTTTATCCAGAGGATCAGGTGCAATGGATATCTCACCAGTTTCTTTTGAATTTGCGGAGGAATCTGTGCGATTGTGGGTCTAACTGCAGGGCAGTATGTCCTTGTCAGAGATATTTGCACCTCTTCATTACCAATCTGCCTGCCTCTCCTTTCCGCCATCAGCGCCCCTTCCTCCTCCTCCTCCTCCTCCTCACAAGTCTTCCCTGGTGGAGCTCAGCACCAAGGGGTGTGTCGCCTCCTTCTTCAGAAAGTTCAGGAAGTCTTCAACATCCCGACCACCCTAAGAACACAGACATTCAAAAAAATGTTAAATACTTTAGAAACAGCAAACATTTCAATAAATACAACAAGCACCTTGTAGAAATGTGTCAGCATTATGATAATTTCTGTTTAAAATGTGCTTGGGTGTTTGCAGGTAGGAATACCTCACCTCATATCGTATAGGTGAATCCTTCTTTCCAGCTGGGGAGAAGTAGATTGTTGGGAATCTAACAAAAGAGAATGTTTTCAGTGAATATTTTTTCAAATTACTGTGAAGAAATAAGAAATAAAAATCCTTCTTCTTGCTTCAGAATTAATATAATTTCTTTAAAACAACTATGCAAAATGGTCCATGCAATTATCACACTCAGAACACTGTTTATTGAGGTCAAGTGTTTTTAAGTTTCATAAGACACACACAATTTCACCACGCGACCATCTACTAAAAGCAATGGGCAATCAAGGCCTCACTCAGGGAAGCAGGGAGACATTGTCAGATGAGGAGACAAATTGGAGGGATGATGAAGATGAGGAAGATGACGGCCTGGAGCCTTACCCCTGGACATCATAGCTGGGTGGCACATCATTGGCAGTGGCATCCATCTTGGCGACAACAATGTTGTGGTCACCAGACAACTGGGAACAGGAGAACAATCAATAATATATGCATTACACTCCTGTCTCTGCTTACAGTACTGGTATTCTCTATATACTCTATAAGCCTAATTAGAAGCCTCACCCGTTCTCCTAGTTCTGCGTATTTGGGCTCCAAGTTCTTGCAGTGCCCACACCAGGGGGCGTAGAATTCGACCAGCACATCCTTTGCTGGGTCATTCACTATCTCCTGAAATGTCTCTGCCACTATTACCTGTGGTGTGGAGAACAACAGAGGGTCATGCTCATAAAGAAATGCTGACTTTCCCTCAGGGATCAAAGATATCATTCAAATCAATGGGACACACCTTGACGGAACCACTGTTGGTTTCGGGGGGCCGTTCAGACTTAATGTAGCGTTTCACACGCCCAGCAAAATAATCCTCCAGGAACCTTTCCAGGGCTTTACCGTCTCTTCTGCAACGGACAACTTTTGTCAGCATGAAAAGCACCTTTTCTTTGGTTTTTCACACCGCTGCTATATCAAAGACCACGACCGCTGCTATACAATTTTAGTGCATAGTTGTTAAAACGTCTGAGCTAAACAAACCATTTGTGGCTTGCTCAGATTCATTCAGGGCTTCAGCCTCGCGACACCTTTGTTAAACTTCATGGACCTTGAAGGTGCGCACTTTAATTCATCATTAAAAAAAAAATCACAAATGATTAACAAGAAACGCATCTGCAAATTACCAACCTACATGATTACAACCTACAACACAAGCTATTCTGCCGTGTAACTTAATAAGAAACAACACATAATTGTTAAAATATAATTTTCAAGATTACTTTAAACTTAACTCCTAAATTCACCACCCAACTTGCCATCCAAACACCATGGCTAAGAGATGAAGCCTCATTCTGCAGAGTGATTCATAACTCACAGCCCAGCACCTATGGGAATTTTCAACCTAGAAATAGGTGCCATCACCAAGCAGCCATCGCAACAGAGCTTTTCCAGGGAAACAAATCAAAGGGAAACAAAGGAGTGGAGGAAAAAGATATATTAACATTTCGCCTTTGCTTACCACTCTGAGAAACTGATTTTGGCAAACGCCGCTTACAGACAGTCAACAAAGTGACAGGTGATGCTATGATTCTCAATTCCTTTGACCCTTTGATGACTGCATGCTGTGCCAGGTTTCAACAGAATGACTGCTGTCTTTCTCATGAATTATGTCATTGTGTAACTTGTCTTTGGCTACCTTTTTGCCTATTATATATTTTAGTACATATTGTTTGATTTTCATAATTTAAACTGGATACCTATCAAACCAATGCTCAGTGTGTTCAACAATGCCAATTTCAATCTGAGTTTTAAATCAAACTGCAAAGAAAATGCCTGTGCATTAAATAATATCCTATTCTATGCATATTTACACATCATAAACTATAACTTGAAAATCACTCATCATGTCAATTTGAAGTCAAGTACAAACAACATCCCTTATGCTCCTGCTACTAGACAGATGTAAGGACAGTATTTGGTGCTCCACATGGGACTGTTGCACTGCCACACTCACGTGAACTCCTGCATGATGTACTTGTTGCCCTCACGTGTTTTGATGGTCACTAGGGGCAGCTCCCCTAACTCTGATGGCTCCACGCCGAACTCTTCCTCCAGCTGGTCCTGGAACTCCTGCCGGTCAGCCACCGCGAAATGTAGGCCTTGCGATTGGAACTGGGATGCCACCTTCATCACCCTAAGTTGAAGGGAGTCATTGTTGAGTCAAAAGAAAGAATAAAATCTTGCAGGCAACAACTGAAGGCAGTTATGGGTATTGTATTTTTTTTTTTAAAGCCTGCTTGATAGATGCACTGAAACATTCAACTTTTCAAGACATGCATGCATTTTGTCTATCAAAAACAAAAGATCACTTAGGTAAATATATTAGCAATGATTGAAAGATTCACTCGCCTATTCCTCCAGTAGTTGGTGCCCTTTGGGTTGCGCAGGTAATCCACATCATAGTAAACGGTCATCAGGTCCCTCCCCTTCAGACTATCTTTGTTTTCATTGGTCAGATGTGGACACAGTCCAAATCTTGGTAACAGGAGAATACATTACACACGTGGGTTTTAAATACATAAAAGAATGAAGGGAGCTAAGGTTAGCATAGAAAACAAATGAACAACCAAACAAAGCTCACATGTTATCTCGGATGAACCGCCGGAGTGAGGCAGTTGAGATGGACTCGCCGAACTTTACCAGGCTGTCCTCAAACTTGCTACTGAGCCGTGGGGGCCGAAACAGCAGAACACTCCTGAAGAGGATTTTGACAGCAGGGAGAGGACAGAGAAGAGTACGTACAAGATTTAATTTTCTTCCAATATTTATTTTTAAATATTCTAACACCCCTGTCTTCCACCCTACCCCACCGCTCCACTCACTCTGTCTCCACCCCATGCTTGAAGCCCAGGCCCGGCTCTGTGGTGTGGCCGAAGCGGTAGCTGTCTCTCATAGCACTCGCTGCTTTCTGGAAGTCAGTCAGCTGCGGACTGTCGCTCCCAGAGAAGAATCCTGGGCAGATGATGAAGTGGACAGACAGGAGCAGGAGCGAGCAGCAACTTATTAGATGTTTGTCTGTCTGTGTTCAAGTTCATATATAAATCTGTGTATCACAAAGTCACACTGCAGGCATACAACATATAATAGCCAATAACGTCTTTCCAACACTAAATAGTTACCTCAATTATTATTATAACGTTATTTGATTAGAATACTAATCCTTGCTGAAAGTGTTATTACTGTTTGGTATCATATTAATATCATAGTAACATTTAATTACGGTTTTGTTAAGTGATACTTTTACTTGAGCAACCTACATATTATCATAGTATTTGACTGCTGTGTTTCAAATGAAGGACCTTTCTACAAGGTAGCAGATCCTTCTGCTTCTTAAACAGGCAGCCCGAGCCATGGATCCTCATGCAACAGGCTGTCCCTTGTGAGAACTGGGGATCGCACCCTCCTCCACAGAAGGGTGGTATGCTCGAGTTATATAATATTGTGAAACAGCTACTAGCAACTATTTACTGGAAGAAGTCCAGCCGATTTCTAAGTAACTGACATGTATTCAGGGGCAACAAAAAGGATACATTTGCTGTCAGCTGGTATGATCTCATCTCAACTAAGACATAATAAATATCAAACACTGCAGTAGGATTCATGTTTGCTGTAGAGGCTGATAACAACAAAGCTCTGGCAAAGGAACACCCCCCCCCACCTTGATTTCTATCCCTGTGCTGTGAAAGTAAGTCAACTGCATTACTTCTTTGGCAAGCCCATCTGGATTACAACCTTTTCTTATGTCTGAATGGAAACCACCTGTGCGTTAGAGTGAGTGAAATAGCTTATTGTTTAACAGATCATGAAAAATTGTAAAATTAGTTTTTCAATCTAAAGAATTTTGCTTCAGGAAGTTTTTCATGAATTCATCATCAGCACTTAATGGTGGAACAGCTGCACTTTCATAACATAACCCTTATAGTAATCCGGCTTGTCACTACTGCCACAAAAGCAGCATAAAAAGAAATGTATAAAGTCAGCCGCAACAAAAAGTTGGGACATAATTGGAAGAGGAAATGGAAGGAAACTCACCGACCACGCTGGCGTCAAAATGGTTGATGAAGGAGTTCAGCTCCTCTTCACTGTGGAGGGGCACTGAGCTGGGGCCGGCCTGCTTCTTCATGGAGCTCACGATGCCCTCTGTGCACCCATAAGCACAGAGATACATTCATAAACTCAGCAGTCGGAAACAGTGCCATGAAATCTTACCTTAAACGCAAAACAAAACACAGGTCAGATAATGTCAATAAATCAACACTCACATTTCAATATTAAAAATATATAAGCAAGCTATTTTTGTGCACTGTACACATTCAGTGACTTTTGTTCATCCTAACAATATGTCCAGCAACAGTGCATGTGATTCGCATTAACACACGCAACACATAAAAGCACCCATAGTGTTTCCGCAAGAGTGTCACCTGCACTGCGGGGTCCATCATACGCGGAAGCCACCTGGCCGTTTCTGAATATCTTCAGTGTCGGGTACCCATTGACTCCAAAACGGCTGCAGGTCTCGGAGTTTGCAGTGCAATCGACCTGAACAGCACAGGACGCACCGCACGGATTAAATGGCAGGTTATCACAATTAACCCTTTATCAGTTATCACCAAGTAGCTGTGACTACAGAAAGCTAACAGTACTGCTATATTCTATTTCTTAGACCTTTATCCTAAGCCAGCTTGGTAAGATCAGTGGAAGTTAGATGCTTAAAAAAGGCCACTGAAACCAAACAACAATTATAAGGGGTAACACGTACAGTACAGCAACAAGTGCCAAGCTAATGGACAGGTCATTAGAACATTCAGTTACATTCACTCAAAGCAAATAATTCAGATATTCTGTTAAAGGGAAACCCAAAAACTCTGTGTGTTTGGTGCAATCATACTGCTATTTCAAACGGATCAAACCCTTGTACATACAGCAGTCTTTCTGAAAAGCAGTTGTTGTCCTGCAGTGTTTTATTACACAAATGAGGCTTTCTGCAGGATTGAATAGCACTGCAAATGTGTTATTGGTTGCACTGTACAGTACATCTTCTAGCCATCCTTCCCATTGACTCTTCATCCCCTTCATATTTGGGAGAAGGTGCCAGAACATCTGAGACTGTTCTACCAGACACTGGAATAGCTTCCCTAAGGACTGCAGCACTCCCGTCACCTAGGTGCCCCCCACCTCGCGTAAAATGGTCCTGTTTCACTCTCACACCGGCACTGTTCACTTTATTTTTAATTGCACTCTTTTGCTGCTATACTTAAAAATGTACAGTTTACTTAATCACACATTCAGTGTTCATTTGTTTTTTTCCACTCTGTAATTCTTTGGGTGGCTATTTGTCCTTAAAATCCCTCACCTCTGTATCATGTGTTGTTGCAGTTAGTTCTGCCTTTAATGCACAGCAAATAAAAAGCTGTCTAGCCATTAATGGTCGCAAAACAGTACTAATGAAAGACCCTTAAAAAAACAACATACTCATCCAACACTTTCTTTTTGTTTTCTATGAAAAACTGTACTTTCTAGAGATATATGGGCACAATTGTGGGTTCCTCTGGCAGATGAACAAAGTTTAGACATGCAGGTTTGAGATTTGCTATTACCTTCGCCAAAGGTACAATCCCCTTAAGTCGAGTTGCAGCGGTTTCATAGTCAGGGGCCAGTTTCTGACAGTGGCCACACCTGAAAGGGTTACAAACAAAGGGAAAAGAAGGGTTTGGATGTATTACTGGCAAATGAGGAAAAAACACCTAATAAACGGTTTCCCACCAATCTATCAGACTAACTACATGCATGTACTTAAGATGTATTGACAGATGTACTGAAGATAAGGTGTGGATTCCCCTTAACACTGGGTGATCTGACAGCTGTCATTCCTACATCTCACTGGGAATCTGCAGGTGAAATACAGGACTTTAAATCCACCCCACTCACCTATAAATACATATGACATTGACACTGTACAAAATCATCCCCAGAGGCTGCTGTCCAAAAACAAAAGTTTCACTAGATAACTAAGTGAAAATTGGCGATACGGCGCAAATCCCTAGTTTCTGCCACACAAATTCGTAAATTCGGAATCTGTGAGCAGCCCGTCAAAACTGTTGACAAGGACCATGGCAGTTTATGTTTATTTACAAGCGCATAATAGAAATTCTCATGTAAAATCGGCTTCATTTAACGCAGACTCTTCATTACTGGGTTAATTACATTTTATTTAGTACGGTTGCATCTGACACAAACCAAGCGCCTCATGTTTTTGAGCACAATAAACTAAAAAAAAGCAGCGCGTCAGCCTCCTCGACGTAACAGAATAAAAATAAAAGATGAGATCATATATCGCATCAGTAAAGCACCGTAAATAACTGTTTTGCATAAACATATCAAGCCATAGCCAAATTCATTTCAGCACACGGGCAATAGGGAAACACATATACAAGGGCCGTCACAAGCATTTTAACCGTGCAAGTAGTACAGCACCGTACAGTAATTGTGCATATACGACTGCACTGTGTTGTAGGCGATGTCGGCCACTTATTTTAACAGCGGGCCACGTACATTTTTTGACGGATACGTAGGGATTGGACACCTGAACACAGGTTAATCATATTTATCTTCCGGGATTTTACCGTGTTCATTAGAGCTTCATCGCGCTAAACCGGTTAAAGCAAACTGTTCGCAGATTTTTTAAACCCGTCCTACCCTAACTGTAATGAGAAAGACGGACAATGAAAATTGGAAATGAATAAACAGCAAAGGACAGTGTAGCGGACACGGCCGGACGTCCCCTCTGAGGAAGGCGTTATTACCAGGGCGCGAAGAACTGCACGAGCAGCGTCTCGTGCTCGGCGAGCGCGTAATCGAAGTCCGAGTCGGCGAGCTCGAGCACGTCGCTGGCCGCCGGCGCCACAGCGGCTCCCAGCATCAGCAGAGCAGCGCAGAGCGGCGACATCTTGGCGGTGCTTTTAACCGAGGCGATATAAAAAATAATCTACTTGTTAGAAACCAAGTGTCAATGCTATCACTGCGTATCCCCAGGACGTCCGAATCTGGATCGTTTTTTGCAGTCAAATCTTGTTTTCTATGAATAAGGACCGGTGACCCGTTACGACACGGGCAGCGAATGGAGGACGGCAGTGGGAGGATCGAGTATCAGACTCGGCGAAGTCCACGGAGGAGAAGGGGGAACTCACTGGTGTGGAAGAGCAGGATGGTTGACGTGAACAGGGCATGGACCTTCAAGTTCGGTCCCTTAAAATATTATATAACTCGTAAGAAATTCAGTTACGGTTACTGTCTTCTTTTAGGTTAAAGTAGGTACTGCCCTTTCTGTCAGTCGTCTAGTCTACTTTGTCAATACGAAAAACATAATTTACTGTCTTGTAACCAACCATCCATCTATCCATCCATCCATCCATGCTCATCCAGTACACGATGACAATCTGCCCGTAGACTAACCCAATTAAGCACAAGGCAGGGCATCACACAATTAAGCAAAATTGCATTGTGGACTTAATGCATTACTTATTTTTTTTATGCACATTAAAATGTCATGTAGGATTTTATTGTGAACTCCATTATTAATACAATTATTTATTAAATTATTATAGGATATGTTTACACAACGTCCTACATTAACACGTACCAACAGAATGCAAATATTAAAAACATACTGTACAGCCTGGGATGTAAAACCAAATTAATGCTATATTTACATTATGTACAAAATGTTCAAGTTGACTGTAGAGTGCTGTTTTTAACACTTTGGCTGGTGTGTTTCAGACATCTTGGTTGTTAGCGTTTTCGATCTGCTCATGTCTTCAGTCTCCACGTTTTAGTCCTCAAGGTAAGTAAGCGAATTTAGGAAGGTCCAAATTGTGCAACCGCGAACAGAGTATTCTCTAAGGTTAGAGACACGTTTCTGCTTTTTGGTCACTTCCTGCTCATCCTTCAGCTCCCTGGACGGGGTGTGTAAGTGGCTCCTGCCCTCCTTCATTCTGAGGAGCGCTTTGCCTGTCAGTCCAGCTCCTCATTGGTGGCAGACTGCTGCTCTGTATTGCTCGCCTCATCCTCTGAGCTGACCTGCCGGGCTGCTGTGTGGAACAGGCGCATGAGGTCGCGGAACCGCCGAGACACCTAGAGGTCAGGAGATGCCATTTCAGTAAGATATTATAGGATTCGAACCCCTAACCCCGGAGGTGAGGCAATGAGTCAATAGCACCCACAGAGTCACTGATTGTTCCACTCACTAAGTATTTCTGCTACTTTTTCACCTCACTGACTATTCAATAAATCTTAAAAGCAAATTTGGTCAGTTTAGGACAAACTGGTTCTGCAGCTAAAAGATTTATCATCAAGCAATAAAGCAAATTTCTCATATACAGTATAGTATGAAATGCTGAAAGCCTTGAGATTTAAGTATTCTGTATGATAATATTTTTTGTTGGAAAATGTACAATATACAGTTTTAACGTGCTGTATTTCGTTTTCATAACAGACTAAAAAAGGCTACAAAATACCCCCGCATCTGGTTACGGTTGAAGGAAATAACCGTACTGTGACTCTACCTCATTGGCTGTCTTGTTTCCAAGCTGGGCCGACACTGCCTGGAAGGTGCTCTGATTGGCTCCCTGCTGCTGGCAAGCAGTTAAAATGACACGGTCTGCCTCTCTGTAACAGAGTAAAGCACAGCCCACTGATGAAAGGAAAACTTCAGACTAATAACGTATTCCAGATTAGACATTTCACACAGCGACCAGAATCCTGATGCTTACACACAGTTACTGACAAATAAACCCTATCTCAACAGCCCGTCTAAGCCTCTGAAAAACGTACCTGGTCCAGAGGATGACTTTCTCTCCACTTGGAGTGAGGGAGATGTTCTTGGCGCAGACTGGAGGATCAGAGCAGGTGCTGGGACGTGCCTGAAGGGGGCCCGTGGGCATCTCTTTCTCCTTCTCCCCCGACAGGATGAGTGGAGGTTCATCAAACTCTCCTGCAGCCTCTCCATCCTTCCTGCTCTTCTTTGGGGCAGGGCTGCCCTCTCCTTCCCCCTCCTTCCACTCCTCTTCCTCTTCTTCTTCATCTCTTTCTTCGGTCGGTGGGAGAGGACCTCCTTCCCATGGTTGGGCCTCCCCACCTGAATCAAAACAGCACTTTTTTTTTCTTTTTATATTTGCAAAACAAATGAGATTTCAGAAAACATTTCCTTAAGCAGCTACACCAACGAGTGGACTTTAAGAGGTATACCAGGCCGCGGACTGCTTGACTCCTTGACTCCTGTTTCTGCTTGGACTTCGGTCTCCACCCCTTTCTCTCCCTCTCTCTCTTCCTCCCTCTCTTCCCCTCTTTTTTCCACTTGGATCTCTTGTGGGGGACTGTTGGATCCTGAGTACAACGAATCACGATTCTTCATCACTTTGGCAGAATCAGAAGTCTGTGCAAGGGGGAAAGATATGAAAACATCAAGTTAATGTTAGAAATCTAACATTAATTGATACCTAATATGAAGTTTAATTTTCCTCCTGTTGCTGATGGTAATTATAAGCATTTCTACCACAAATCACCACAAAGTTAATACTGATACATATAACATCGATGCACAATTATAAACTCCACAGAGCCCTTTCATGTTACCTTTGTAGTATGGCAGCGAGAGCAGCCCTTCCTCTTGTGTCTTCGCAGTTTGGATTCATTAGCAGAATCATGGCAAGGGCAGGAGCAATCCTTCTCTGGCCAATCACACTCCTGTGAGCAATAGAAATCCTCCAATTAAAAATCATCCATCCATGCATTTTCTGTATCCACTTGTCCTAAGTAGGGTTGCAGGGGTACAGAGCCTGTCCCGGAAGCTATGGGTGCCAGGCAGAGAATAACCCAGCATGGGGCGCCAACCATTCACACCTACAGACAACTTGGTAACTCCAATTCTCCTTAGCATGTTTTTGGACTGCGGGGAGGGGAAACCGGAGAACCTTGAGGAAACCCCCAGACAACACAGGGAGAACATGCAAACTCCACACACGGAGTCTCAAACCACTGAGCTACAGTGCCACCCCCCCCCCCCGCCCATAAAAATCCATCATTTCTTTTATGTGTTATGGTATCACACCATATATATGCCCACTAGCCTTGTCATTTCCATGCGTGACCAGTTCCTTCCTTCTCCTGTTTCTGGCGGTCATTGGTGGAATCTTGTGCACCTCTTCTTCCTCCTCCAAGTCAGGAAGCGTGACTTCCTCGAACCCCCCACCCGCTCCCCCTGCTGGCCCGACACTGCCACCGTCCCCGCCATCAGTCATGCTCCCCCCTTCGTCTGGCCATACCGCCTCTTCAAACTGCCCCGGCTGAGGGGGAGGTGGGCGGAGTTCATCGAAAAATACCCAGAATTCCCCCTGTAGGTGGGTGTGACCTTTGAGGAGGGAGGCCATCTGAGATTTCAGCTAGGTGGGGGTGAATGACAGAGAGAAAGGGAGTGACTCAGAGGAAAAAAAAAAAAAACAGTCAACATATGCACATTACATAATGCATTACATAAACCATTGTGTGCTGCAATGTGTCAGACACGCGTGTGTGAAATGTGACGCTCCAGCACGTACCTCCTCGATGCCAGCGGGACTGAGGCCGGGGCCTCCCTGCAAGGCACGCACTATCTTCTGGTAGTGCGACGAGTTCTCCCCGAAGCTGATCTCTAGCTGGCGCAGAAAACGGCGACTGCGTTCGAAGGCCTGCTGCTCGGCAAACTGGGGAAGGAAGAAATGGGGCGTGGCTTAAGGACAGCATGTGGGACCGCGAGAGGGGTTTAAGGCACCCTTGCGGATGTCGACGGTCCGCAGGTGTGTAGGAGACGGGCACGGTACCAGGCCGCACTCCAGGGCCTGCTCGGGCAGCAGGAAGGCCGCGAAGTCCCGCAATAACTCGGGCCACTCCTTCAGAACCGGCTTCAGTTGGCCGAAGAGCTCCACAGCGCTACGGCCCTCACCACCCTGATCAAATTCGTACAGGAGCCCCAGGAACTCCTCCACCTTCCCGGGAATGTCCTTCAGGGCATCCCTTACCTGGGGGGACGGCAGTGCAGGCAGATGAATGTCAGTGGACCACGTAAGGGGTCATCAGGAGAACAACGCCCAACAAACATAACTGATCGTACTGATTGAGTCCATGGGTGTCAATAATAATATACCTTTATAGTTTAACTAAAAGATTAGAGTCTTAGCCTTTTGGGAAGAATTGGCTTTGTTTAAATAAATGCACAGAAATATATTGTTCTGCTAATAGTCTATACGTGACTAAAGTAGGTGTAAAAGTTCCTCACCCTATTGAGGTAGGCTTGGGCGAAAGCGATGTCCTTGCTCTCCCTCAAGGGGTCGTTGTCCAGGATGTGGTCGTCGTACAGAAGCATCAGCTTGGAGGCGTCCTTGCTGTCCCGGTCCTGTCGGCGCGTGCGCCTCAGGCTGCGAGGGGGTGGGCGGCCACGACCTGTAAGCATACGGGAGGCCTAAGCCCAGCGTCACGGGAGGACAATTTCACAGTCTTGCACTAGGGGGAGCCGAAGCGTAGCGGAAAAAGAAACATCCTATCAAATGGCTGACAGTTTTTGCAATATGTTACCCATTAACAGAACATGGAAAATGCATTTTTTTCAGTTAATAACTGAAGAACCATTACATGAACAGGAGGGAATATTGGGAATCGTCACAGTGCCTGTACCCCAGACCCATCACTGACCTCTACCCCGACCCGCTCCTTTTCCACTGGCCTGAGGAGCACCTGCTCCTTCAGCTACATCCCCACCAGGCAGCTTGCCAGTTCCTCCGTCACCCGACTCCAATTCCTCCCCTTTGGGCGGCCCCCCCTCTTCCTCCTCCTCGGAGTTCTCCTCCTGAGAGTTCTGGGAGACTGGAGAGGTTGGAGAGGTCGGCGAATTGGGGGAGTTCGGGGAATTGTCCTCCTCTGAATCACCTTCCCCACATAACCGGCGCTCCGATGCTAACCAAGTCAGCTTCTCCATCGTCTCCTAGGAAAGGTCACACACAGGGGGTTTCTGATAGTTCATACGGGCAACATGCACATGCATGGAGATATATACACATCACACTGCACGCCGCACAACTACACATGGACTTAACGGTTATAACACTATGCTGCTTTAAACGGATTCTTTGACAAATACTGAAATTGTATATATTTGCAAAGCAATTCACATCTTACGTTGCATTCATCTCTCTAAAAATACTAATGGAATTAATGAGTAGCAGTCAGGATTATTATCAGGCTGCACAGTGGAAACAAAAAAAATTCTGACAACACAAATCCTTGTATTTCAGCATGAACTGTATAGTCAGATCATTCACACTTAATACAAATAACATACGCTGGTCAAAAAGACGGTGCATCTTCATTGCTTTTTACAATGACAAAATATATTATGTGATTCATACCTGCAGCTCTGGCACAGACAACACGGATTCCTCGGATGCCGATGACATCACTTCCTCTTCATCTTCATCCTGGGTGAGGTCATCAAAGTCTTCTTCCTCCTCGTCCTCTCCGCCCTGCCTCTCACGCTCCCCATCACCATCCTTTTCTCCGTTGCCCTTCCCATCTCCTTCTCTCTTCCCGCCTCGTTCTCCATCTCCGTTTCTCTTTCCCGCCGCCCCTCCCTTGCCTTCTTCCCCTCCTTCTCCGCCGTCTCCTCGGTCCTCCTTCCTCTCGCTGGCACCGCCTCCACCCTGGTGCTCCCCTCCCCCGCCATCTTGCCGGCCGCCTGCGCCACCCTCTCCTCCTCCAGACTGCTCCTGGCCCTCGTGTGCAGAGCTCAGTGAAAGCCCTCCCACTGAAATGCATTTCCCTTCTGCCAGCTTGACGTGAGGCGGGGGCAGATTCACACAGGCCCTCCCGCTGTCGCCATCTTCCAACCGACCGTCCTCCTCCTCCACTTTCCTCTGGGTCCCCACCTCGGCGTCACTTGCTTGTCCACCAGCTGGGCCATTCCTTGGTTTCGCTTCATCATCCCAGTCATCTTCATCACCCGTTTCTTCTGCCTCAGATGGCAGACGGGGAGTGGAAGCTGCTAACCTGCACCAACCCGCCTCCACCAGCTTCCCCTCCTCTTCTACGTCCATTAGTCTCTCCAGGGCATCTGCATGGCTGTCCAGACTAGACCTTGGGCTGCTAGAAGATTCTGACAGTGCCAGCAGGCGCCCTGCAATATTACCGCTCTCACTTTCACCCCATTCTTCTCTTTCATGGTGCTCCTCCTGTTCTTTCTGTTCTCCAGTGCTTGCCACCAAACCGTCCACTTCCAGCTGAGCCACACTGCTTGTGGATGGCTTTACATTCGAGCCAAAACGTATCACATCCCTGCTGTTTAACATATTTATAAATGGTACTTTGCTGGGCTGTTGCTGATCTGTTCCAGTTGACGTGTCTGGGAGGTTCACAGAGGTAGTAGTCATAGGAGAGCAGGCCAGAGGTGGACCTAACTCACTGAAAGGCAAGATGTGGTTCTTTGTGTTTTCTGTATCATTTGTCTGTTGGAGGTTTTGCTGTGAGGCTGTGTCAAGCAGAATACCGCGAGGAGCTGTACCCTGGTCATGGTTTGGTACCTCACTCTGAATCTGGCCTGAAGGAGTCACCGTTTTGAAGCACTGCACATTATGTTCAAAAGTGTTCATTGTCTGTGGACTGGAACCATAGCAGGTTCCTTTGGATTTCTGCGGGTCACAAGGGGAGGTGTCCATTGACATCTCCCTTGGGTTTTCCAATGAAACCGTATGGAGTGGTGTCGTGTTCGTTACATGATCCGAGGACGTGACAGCAGGAGACGGAGTATGAAGGAAAATGGGGTTGAGTTTCAACTTCACTGCACTGTCAGTGTCGGTGTAGCTTTGGGAAGGGTTCGTGCTGGGAGGAGCTGGAAGCAATGGCCTGGCTAGTTTGCGAAGCTGAGCGAGGGCTCCGTTGGGGTGCGTGACAGGGTCTTGGGGTAGAGGCGTGGCTTCTGGAGAGGGACTGACCAATCCTTCAGCGGCAGGAGGGGGACAAACCACTGTAGTGCCTACTGGAGTAGCCAGGTTGATGATGACGGTGGAAGGGATGACACCGCAAGCCCCGCCCCCCGTGTCCTCTGCTACTACAGCCGACCCACTAGCCAGATTCAGCACATTGACAGTTCCACCTGTGGAGATAGTGAGCAGTGGGAGGGGCTGGGAGGGCAGTTTTGGGGGGGCAGGCTGGATGGGCAGTAATTTGCGGGGGGGGCGCTGATTTGCTCTTCGTTTGTTGGTGTGGCGGGGGGCTACCAGGGGGGCTGTGCTGGACACCTGGAGCAGAGAGGAGTGAGGGGCAGAGGGGAGATCCTGCATGACGGGCGTCTGTGCAAAACACTGAGCCGTGCTGAGGCTGACGGAGTAGGGGGTGTTCACCGGCACGGTCCCGTGGGCTGGGGTCAGGGGGGCCTGGCCCAGCGACATAGCCCCGTGAATGGGAGTGGTCGGGGCTTTGGCCATTAAAATAACCCCGTGGTTAGGGGTGGTTCCTGAGGTTTTAGCCAGGAAAGGTGTAGCGGCTGTGAGCCCTGCAGGGGCCTTGGTCAAAGCGGGAACAGACTGGGCTGGGGGCTTCGACCCGGCGTGAGAGCCCGTGGCTTTGAAGCCGCCGGGGTGAAGGCGCAGAGTGACGTCTCTGGGCAGGGAGGCCGGGTACCGTGTCCCGGGAGGGAAAACGTAGGGAGGAGACTGGACCACGTCAGCTGGAACCTGGCCTTCAGGCTGATTATACTTTAGTACAGCCTTATGGATATAAGGAAAACTTTTCTGTGAGAAAAGCAAAGACAGAAAGTATTTAAAAGGCGTTAATAAGACGACTTATCATTATTTATTACTTCACAAAAGCTGCTTATCTAGACATATCATTAATATGTATTCTACTGAACAATAGTTGCCAGGTTGATTATGCACTTATGTAATATTAACAGACTGCAAATTCCACTTAAGACAAAGGATTGCTACCAATAATCTGCATTTGTACCCGAAGCCAGATGGGAAGAATCGTTTCCTCTCTCTCCACTGCAGGGCGCTCTGCTCCTGGCATCACTCTGCCGCACCCCAAAAGCATGGAGGGGACTATCTTGTGCTGACAGAAGAACTGGTATATGAAGGGTAAGAGTAGCATCAATAGGCAGATAAAACACGTGAGACGCAGACAGAAGCTTTGTGGGCACTAGGACCACGAAAGGCACGTTGAAGGGAGGCCTGCCTTGATGATGTTGTCGGGAGCGCGGCGGGCCGACATGTCGTGGACACGAGCACGGAGCTGCTGGGGATTCTTGGTGCGCAGTAGGTAGCGGCACATCAGCTGGTACGGGAACTCGGTCTCACCGAAATGCTTCAGGCCCAGCACAATCAGGCTGGAGACAGGGCAAGGGGAGGACCAATCAGAGGCGTCCTAACAAAACTGCTCACTTACTCGATGATTATGATCACACATCTGATTGGAGAATACAGACAGGCCCCGTTTAAAAAAATCAACGTGTATGTGTGTGAATGTATGTGTGTGGCAGGTATGTATGTACCATTCCTCCCCGCGGGTGTAGCCCTTATTGGAGCGCGGGGGGTGCAGGGCGGGGTCTAGGCTGCAGTGGGGCAGCAGTTGGGGGTACATGAACACAGGCCGGGTAGCCAGCAGCCAGGCCACATTCGGAGGGAGTAAGGGGTACGAACGAACTGGAACAGAGAGACACACAAGATGCAGTCATACTGTGCTGCTAATTCAATTAGTGTCATTCTACATTTATTCAATAATCTATGCAATGCTCTACTTGTTGAACTAAAGGAGACAAAATCTTTCATTTACTAGACACTTTTATCCGAAGCCATATACTATTTGTTTTGAGAATGCAGGGTCAGAAAGTCCCTGAGCAATTCATGGCTTCACTCAGGGGCCCAATGGTGACATCACTCCACTGACCTTGGGATTTGAACCAGCAACCTTCTGTGTCCTAACCCTCCGAGCCTCCACATACACATGCATTAACACAGTCTCAGCCCATCCCTCTTAACCCCACCCCTGCTCACAGCTATTTCTCCGGAATGGCTGGACGGGGAGAACGGGGATATCGGAGTGTTTCAGCTCATGCAGCAAGGACAGCGCCCCCTGTAGGTTACAGGTCCTGAAGATGCTGACGAATCCAGGCTCCACGGGCCTCCTGCTCTGCTCCCCACGCTCTGAAAACACTTTCAGCTCCTCCTGGAGGGGCATGAAAATAAGCAAATGCTTAGCTGCAGATGTCAGAAGGGTTAGAAGGACCAGTGGATTGGAGAATACAGACAGGGCCCGTTGAAAAAATGTCAAATCCAGTATGAGCATGTGTCCATGTGAATGTATGTGTGAGAGATATGTATGTAGGAAGGCAAGACAGTGAAGGCAGGGGCAAGTCTAGGATTTTCTAAGGTGGAGGACATTAGAGGGGCCATAATTCATACAGATGAGTCAACCTTATCATTAGCTGTTTGAATCTATGTGACAGGGAGGAAGGCAAATCAGCCAGGGCCCCTAGGGCCACACCCCTGAATGAAGGACCAGTCAACTTCCTGCAGATGGAAGGAACTGGAAAGGCTGGCCGAGTGAGAACCAGGCGTCTATCTCAGGCTGCACGGGTGCCGACTTCACATTAGTGTTCTCCAGCTGGGGAGACGCAGGGGTCTATGACAGCAATGTGCACGTGCGAGACCTCACCAGGAAATGCTGCACCACGGCCAGCTCACTCTGCAGCGCCTCCACTGGGCTGCACAGTATGTGCACCTGGGTCAGCAGCTGGACATGCTGTGGCGGAGACAGAGGACACGCCCACAGCTTAGAGCGCACAGTGACCAAAAAAAGGAATGATGCTCCACTCTCTTGAAGTACCCATTCTGCTGCCTTGGTGAAATTTGAAGCCATTTTGATTGTCCCCATGACTGAGTAATGGACAGGTGTTTAGAAGGATGATGTCTGTTTCTGCTTGGAATCGAAGCCCCAATAGCTTGGAGCCAGAGCAGAGTCAAGATATCCCGAATACAGTCAGTCTCGCTACAACGTGATTAATGCGTTCCTGAAAAACCTTGTGTTCTCTAAAATCGCGCATTAAATTACAGATACACAATGGGAAAAAATAGGGTTAGGGGAACCAACTCCAAAATTTAGTAACTTACGCCAAACAAAATTAATTAAATAGTAGGAACAGTGCTGCTAGTGTCTTATGAGTTTTACGAGAATTGCCTAGTAATCACCTCAACCAAACATGCCAAATCACTAGCTTGTCCTTTGCCGCAAGTCGGGAGTAATGATGGCCAAAACGACGCTTCATGAACCATTTGCTGTATTTTCTGACAGCACTAGATGGTGCTCTTGGTTTACTTTGGGACATACTTTGAGCCCTTTTTTGAACAGAGAGTACTATCTAGTGTAGTGAGACACAGCCACCATGCGGCCGGGGAACAAACACAGCACGAATACAACGGATCCAGTTCAAAAACCAGTTCAAAGGAAGAATTCGTTCACAAATTGGACATCAGGATAGCAGTTTTTGTGTGCAAGTAGTGTCTCTTGCATTGCAGTTCTTTTAGGACTTTCCAACTGAAAATCACAGAAATATGTGATTCTGCTTAGTGTTAGACATGGGTACCAATATATCAATCGCAGCACAACAGATTCGCAGTTTGATATCACATGTTGCGGTAGGACTAACTACACAAATTAAAGCAATAAATATACTGAATAACTGCTAACAAACATGGTAATCGATTAAAAATGGGAAAATGGCAAGTAAAAGCGTCTTTTATTGAATCCTCTCCCTTTAGTAGACTGTAGGGGGCGACCAACCTGCTGTAATTGCTGCTGCAGCTGCAGTTTCTGCAGGGGGGTGAGGATAAGGACACAGGGAGGGGGCAGCAGCAGTACTGGGGGCTGCGGGGGACTCTGGGAGCTCTTCGCTTGGACGTCCATTAGGGCTCGGCGCTGCTGAAGAGCCTCCAACTGTTCCTTCGCCAGGCGGTGTCGCTCTGTCAACATGTTGGCCAGCGGCTCCTCGAACCTGCAGCCAGCAGCATCATGAGCGGGGGAAGAAGCACCCAAATGCTTCAGCATCTGAAGCATTATCAGAGGAAGCATTATTAAATGTGCATCTGCTTCTGAAAGACAGCTATAGGCCTGAAACCACATTATTCCCCTAAATGGCTTAACATATGTGCTGCAACAGAATTCCATCACAAACTAATCTTGGATTTTTATCTTCAAAATTTTTCAAATCATGCCACCAATCATGAAATTAAGGATTTCTAGTTTAATTCTTAAAACTCCAAGCTTTCAGCAATGCAGAGCATCTCCCGGCTTTCTCCGGTGCCCAGTTTTGTTCCATTCCCAACAAAAATACCCTTCTTTCACCATCAGAAGACAGTTCTCAAGTCTTCACAAAGTCTTCAATTGACCCCAGCCATGTCTACACCTTCACAGTTCTTGGATTTCAAGAATTTCCCCCGGGATCAATAAAGTTTCTTATCTAATGTAATATAACTCAATGTAATCTAATCTAATCAGTGTGAAACCCACACTGCATGAATCACCCGAAAAAAAACCAAACATCTAAAGCCAATTATATCAGAATATATGCTTACATAATATGCAGCGATTTAGATATTTTTTGCGTGTATAATAGTAAGAATCCATAATATTCCATAATACCTGTATGCCCATGAGAATTTGATTTCAAATTAAAGTATTAATAGAATGAAGTAGAGAATACCCCAGTTTACTCACAGGCATTTAGTCATACTCTGACACTCATCTTTAGGTTTGAAATTTGATTATAAATTTCTCAAGCGCACATCTGAAAGGGCGCAGCATGACCCCATGTGCTGGAGCTTCAGGAGGACGTGGTACGTGCCCCTTCGCGAGCGACACTGGCCACCCCCACGTCAGACCCAATCTAATGAGGCGCCATAAGGCCCCCGTGTTCCTCAGCAGCAGGACACCAGGACCACCTTCATTCAATTGTCCCCTCTCCGGACAAGGAGACAGAACACAGATCTGCCCCATGACGGGGCAACCACACACACACACACACACACACACACACCCACCCACC